ATGATGATTATTCTGTTGTTTTGCGTGTAAACAGAGAACTTCTGCACCGGAGACAAATTCCTTGTGTCTAATCCAGGGTCTTCAAACTTGGCCCTTTGATGACTTGTGGAATTCCTCGTGCCTGGCTGAGGAATTCTGGGAGTTGAAGTCCACAAGTCATCAAAGGGCCAAGTTTGAAGACCCCCAGTCTAATCCCACTTGGCCAAATAAAGTCTTCTCTTCTGCTTCTCTTTCACCATCATTCCTTCTTCTCCTTTTCCTTCTCATCCACCACCATCCTTCTCCTTCTACAGCATTCCTTCTCTTTCTTTCTCTTTTCTCTCTCTTCTGTTCTTCTCTTCCACTTCTCTTTATTCTATTCTGTTTTCTATTCTGTTTTGTGTTCATTGCGTGGCCTACGTCTTCTGTTGTACAGATAGTCCTCGACTTACAACAGTCCTCATTTAGTGACTGTTCAAACGTTCAATGCGATGATTTTCAAAGCATTGCACTGTTTTGCTATTCATGCTCATATCCAAATATCTTCCACTTATAGGTGACATTCCCAAGGATGATTCCCAGTTTTCGGGATGAACTTACGGTACGTAATCCAACTTTCTCAGGCAAGCTAATTTAATTGCATTTACCAATAAAATTACACTAGGGAAAAAAAATCTATAATCAGCCCATGTGACTGGCTCACACTATAGCAGTGATTTATTTGATTGCGGTAGAGCCTGTGGTTTAATCACAGCGATTGACACAAACTGCGGTTTAGTTGGGAAAATCAGTCTCCATTATTTTAATTAGACTTGCTGGTGTTTTTTTTTAAAGCCTTCAAAATGTATGAGTTGGCTGATAATGAAAGCAGACAAATTAAATCTTTTTTTTTTTTTAGACTGCTGTTTGGAGATTTAAGATTTTAGGAGGCGTACTTCTGCACAGATGGAGATTTTTTTTCAACATCTCCCTGGTCCTCTGAAATAAACATCTTGGTTTTCTTTTAAAAGTGGTGTTTGAATTTGGAGAGCAAATTCTGAAATGTGGCTAGTGCAACCCTGGGGTAGTCCAGCATCTTTCTTAACGTTGTGGCTTTTTTGTAGGGTGTCCGGCCTGGAATGGCGCCTCAAGTGACGTCTGGAATGGAGTGGGTCGTATCCATCGAGCACAATGGCCGGACCCACCATATGAATCTCAGACAGGCGATTCAACAGGGCTACACGTTCCTTTCCAATGTCAATGACATCATCATCCAAGTCCCGTTTAATGCTAGAGGAGTCGCAGTTTACAAGGTGCAAGAAATGAGAAATACAGCTATGGGTGCCAGGATAGCCGATTCCCCAAATTTGGTACTAGATCTCTAAGACTGAGCTTTGGAGAAAATGTTTTATTGTTAATGACTGTAGGATGGATGATAGTCTTTCTTAGTTGAGCAATGTTTTAGATTAGGCAGCCTATACATTGATCGGTTTTATTCTGTTTTTATCCTGTCCTTATTTATAAATAATTCCAGGCAGCGAACATACCTAATATTCCTTCCTCTTATTTTTATCCACCACAACAATCCTATGAGGTGGGTTGGGCTCAGAGAGGGACTGGCCAGAGTCTCCCAGCTGGCTTTCATGCCTAAGGTGGGACTAGAACTCTCTATCTCCTGGTGATTGGCCCAGAGTCTCCCAGCTGACTTTTATGCCTAAGGTGGGACTAAAACTCTCTGTCTCCTGGTGATTGGCCCAGAGACTCCCAGCTGGCTTTCATGCCTAAGGTGGGACTAGAACTCTCTGTCTCCTGGTGATTGGCCCAGAGTCTCCCAGCTGACTTTTATACCTAAGGTGGGACTAGAACTCACAGTCTCCTGGTGATTGTTCCAAAGTCACCCATCTGGTTCTCATGCCCAATTGTATCAATGCGCTATGAGATAACGGTGATGATATAGTGATGTAGGGGTTGGCATCCTTTCCCTTTAATGGCTGGAGGAAGTGTCAAGACCTTCTTTGAGACTGGATATTGGCACAAAATGGTTTCCAGAATGTTAAAAGCATGAAATGTCACTACATGTCTTACAGCAAGATGGCTACGTGTTGTACACAGTAGCTATCAAGCTAACTTATGGGCCTCCAGAGCAGCGCCTGACCCTGGAATCAAGAATGATCTGCGCCCCAGGTGAAAACCTTGTTTCCAACATTCTGCTTCTAAATCTAAATTCTGAATCTCCACAACTTGGAAGAAACATCTTCAATCTCCCCCCCCCACCCCTCCCCAACTTTTCAGGCCCAGCGGTCTGCAATTCAACCCACATGACGATGATTCTCCCAGCTTTCCCAGGAAAATTGACAGCTATCAGTCTGAATGAGAAGAACCTTCCCGTACACCAAATTCAAGCCAATGGCATTGGTGTGGACACCAGAAGTGGAGTGAAGTTGTATATTCCCAAAAGACTTCTAAACACTCGGGCAAGTTCCTTTGGCTAGAGGATGAAAATTCTTGAGGCAAAAGTTGGGGTTCTTTGCTGGCTGGCTGGGGAATTCTGGGAGTTGAAGTCCACAAGTCATAAAGTTGCCCAGGTTGGACCTTCCTGATCTAAAGGTACAAGAGCTGGCTGGGGAATTCTGGGAGTTGAAGCCCAGAGTTGAATAACAGTGTCCTAGAGTGTATCCCAGTAGGTTTACCATCAGTTCTATCCACTCTTCTGTCTTTAAGTTGAAACTCTGATGAAAGCAATGGAATAATAATATCTCTGATTTTCCAGGCCTACAGAGATCAGGATTGCTCAGGTTTTCAGTTGTATGTCGCATCCTTGACGTTGAATTTTGACTACCATGGGGAAATAGCCACCATGGTTAGCTACCCGGAGTGTCCTTGTGAACAAAATTCACCAATAGGTAAGGAATTTAACGTTGCTCTTTTAAAAAAATGGATCTTCAAATATGGCCTGTGAAGGTCTAAACATCCTATTGTAGTTATGAACTAACTTCCTTCTGACCTCCCAATGCAGAGAATATGCATCTGTCTATTGTAACGGACATAAAATTCACACACAACTTTCAGCCTTCATTCACACATCCCCCCGACCAACAAAATGATATGTACTTGGTTCTCCTGTTGCATTTAGACCCGTTAGCAATTTCCTCCTCCTTTTCTTCCCTTCCCCAGTGAAAAAAAACGAGAGTGAAATCTATAATTTTGGATCTGCTTTGGATGTATTTAACAATTAAGTAAAGACTATCTGTATTGAAATAGGTTAAATAAGTCATAAGTATCTCTGGGGTAGATGCATCGTAACTTTGAACGGTTACTAAATAAGGATTATCTGCACTCAAATATATCCAATATGTCATAAGTCTCTCTGGGAAGGTCCATTGTAACGTCAACTGGTACAGAGGACCATCTGTACTAAAAAAAAGGGACAAAATCCGACAGACATTGTTGATGTTCCCTAGTTCAGGGGTCCCCAAACCCCGATCCGTAGACCAGTACCGGGCCACGGCATGCCAGCAACCGGTCTGCACAAACAAGCAAAGCCCCATCTGTGGGATGCAGGCAGCACACAAAACCACGCACCCTCCAGTCCGTGGAAAAACCTCTCTTCACGGAACCAGCCTCTGGTGCCCAAAATGTTGGGCAATGCTGGTCTACAGCAGGGGTCCCCAACCCCCGGTCCATGGACCAGTACCAGGCCGTAGCCTGCCAGTAACCTATCCGCACACACAAGCAAAGCCCCATCCACGGGATGCAGGCATCACACAAAACCACGCACCCTCCGGTCCGCGGAAAAACCTTTCTCCACGGAACCAGTCCCTGGTGCCCAAAAGGTTGGGGATCTCTGCCCTAGTTGGGTAATGAAACATCTGTAACCAACTAACCCACCTCAAAGAGGACCCAGAACTTCTCCCATTCCAGCCTGAGCTACAGAGATTCACCTCAGTTGAACTCATTGTGGCTTAGCCTAGGGTGCGGCTTAATCCCCAACTTCCTTACAGTCACCGTATGCACTCAAGACGGACACATGGTAAAACTCTAGCGTTCGTCGTCATGCTTTGGCCTGAATTTGGACTTATGGGAGTCCGAGTCCCTGGGTTGGACACCCGGACAGAGGACCAGCCGAAGCTTTCTGGCTCAGGTGAAGGCACATGGTGACTTACCAACGCCCTGGTGCTACTTCCACTCGGGGAAGGACTCGACTTGGGAGGCAACCAAGAGGACGAAGTGTGACACGGGTCGTCCTTGAACTATGACAACAGTTGAGCCCCTAAAAGTTTTGTTGCTGAGGCAAATGTTTGTTAAGTGAGTTTTGCCTCCTTTCACGATCTTCCTCGCCACAAATTGTTAAATGAATCACCGCAGTAATTAAGTTAGTAACGCGGTTCTTAAGTGAATCTTGCTGTTTGGGATTTCAGGACTATCTGTAGCCTTTTGCTCTTCCAGGTTGTCAGTGAGAAGATGGTTTATGAAAACGAAGTGAGCTCCTTTTGGCCAGATCAGCCTCCACGCTGGATCTCCAGAGACAGCAATTTCAGGTGAAGCCGACTTGGCCTTTTGTGCGGAGTGTCATGGTTCCGACTAATGAAACACTTCAAAGAACTTTTAGGCATGTTTATCCTAAAGCCTTTATTAACAGTGTTATAAATTGACGGCACATCATGGAGGTTTATGCCAGAATCTGAATTCCTCTTGCTGGCATCTAACTTTTCTTGCTAAACCCCTCCCTTATCTTGCAGTCACAAGTCACATCTTCCAATTAGCCCAGAGGGCAGAGATTCACTTCCGTTCCTTTTCCCGGGATTTTGTTATTTCCCCTCCCTTTTCTCTGTCATCTGAATTAACTCTAAAAATACCAGACAGTTCTGCATATTTTGTCAAAGCAAGAATATTCAATATTAGCAGCGTTGACATGTACCACTGTCAACGCCGAAGATGAAAACACCTTTATTTTTTTTGTTGGCATTTGTGCTTTTCCAGTTCACGCGCAACTCCAGCAAAATTAGCCTGGGGTTTCGGAGACCGTGGTTAGGATTGACAGGCTTTTGCAATAGGCACGGATGATAAGGGCGATTAAAAATTTGATTTTTGCAGATCTGCCCACCCTCGGTTCAGTAACTTTGGAAGCGACAGACAAAATTTGAATTCCGACTTGATCGCGCCATGCAAAGTTCATTGTTTCTAAACCGGTGCAGACAATGCTGATAGAGTTTATGCCATCGACGTAAATTATGTAACATTGATTGATCCATCAGAATAGAGAATAGAGCTGGAAGGGACCTTGGAGGTCTTCTAGTCCAACCCCCTGCTCAAGCAGGAAACCCTATACCCATTTCAGACAGGTGACTGCCCAGTCTCTTCTTAAAAGCCTCCAGTGATGGAGCACCCACAACTTCTGGTGGCCAGCTGTTCCACTGGTTAATTGTTCTCACTGTTAGGAAGTTTCTCCTTAGTTGCGGTTGCTTCTCTCCTTGATTAGTTTCCATCCATTGTTTCTTGTCCTGCCTTCAGATGCTTTGGAGAATAGCTTGACTCCCTCTTCTTTGGGGCAACCCCTCAAATACTGGAAGACTGCTATCAGGTCACCTGTAGTCCTTCTTTTCTCTAAACTGGCCATACCCATTTTCCACAACCATTCTTCACATGTTATGTAGCTATATAATTCTGGATTTAATGAATGTCCTCTCCTGGTTGATTCACGACTGAAAGCTCCACCTGCTGCTTAAAGATTGTCCCTTGGTTGATACGTCTGATTCGTAAGTGGCAATTTCTGGAATCAATCCTCCTGCATTTCCAATTAGGATTGTCATTTAATGCCGAGTTTTTGTGCTGCTGTGTATATCCTGCATTTGAACGCACACTAATCTTTATTGATAGACACGGCGGCTGGCTTTTATTTAACCCCCCTAAGCCAAAATTCAAATTATGACTGAGGGTGATGTGCAAACCCAGTCACGTAAGAAATAGGCTAACATTCTTCAAATGCAAAAGGGTAAGAATAATAGAATTGAAGCCAGAGAGATTTTCATTCCTTTCCCCCCCTTCAATGGACTATGAAAAGAGAATCACAGATAATAATAATAATAATTAAATTATTATTATTATTAAATTAAATTTATATCCCGCCCTTCTCCTTGCGGACTCAGGGCGGCTAATAATAATAATAATAACAACAACAACAACAACAACAACAATAATAAAGTTGGAAGGGACCTTGGAGGTCATCTAGTCCAACCCCCTGCTCAGGCAGGAAACCCTATACCATTTCAGACAAATGGCTGTCCAATCTCTTCTTAAAAACCTCTAGTAATGGAGCACCCACAACTTCTGGAGGCAGGTTGTTCCACTGGTTAATTGTTCTGACTGTCAGGAAATTCCTCTTTAGTTCCAGGTTGCTTCTCTCCTTGATTAGTTCCCATCCGTTGCTTCTTGTCCTGCCTTCAGGGGCTTTGGAGACTAGCTTGACTCCCTCTTCTTTGGGGCAGCCCCTGAGATATTGGAAGACTGCTATCATGTCACCCCTCGTCCTTCTCTTCATTAAACTAGACATACCCAATTCCATCAACCTTTCCTTATATGTTTTAGCCTCCAGTCCCCTAATCATCTTTGTTGCTCTTCTCTGTACTTTTTCTAGAGTCTCAACATCTTTTTTACATTGTGGTGACCAAAACTGGATGCAGTATTCCAAGTGTGGCCTTAGTTAACAAGAGACCTTTTGACTAAGGCAACATTAGAAGACATGAAACTCTGGATGAATCTTGGCAGGGAAATAAAATCTTTGAATGCAGATAAATGATTCTTCCCTTCCACGGGTATATTACAGGCAGTCAATCGAATAGAATAGAGAATAAATAGAGAATAGAAAATAGAATAGAACAGAGCTGGAAGGGACCCTGGGGGTCTTCTAGTCCAGCCCCCTGCTCAAGCAGGAGAACCTACACCATCTCGGACAGGTGATTGTCTAGTCTTTTCTTAAAAACCGCCAGTGATGGAGCGCCCACGATTTCTGAAGGCCAGAGGCTCCTCCCCTCTGTTGAGAGAGGGCTCCTCACTGTCAGGAAGTTTCTCCTTAATTCCAGGTTGCTTCTCTCTTTGATCAGTTTCCAACCATTGTTTCTCATTCTTCCCTCTGGTGCTTTGGTGAACAACCTGCCCCCTCTTCTTGGTGGCAGCCCCTCAGATACTGGAAGACTGCTATCATGTCTCCCCCATTTCTTCTTTTCTTTAAACTATCCAAACCCGCAGCCATTCCTTGTATGTTTTAGGCCTTGGATCATCTTAGTTGCTCTTCTCTGATTTTTTTCCAAACTCTCAACCTCTTTTTTGTGATATGGTGATCAAAACTGGTTGCAGTATTCCAGAAGGGACACTCCCCCCCCCCAGTTCAATGGGAAGTAAAGAGAAGGGGGGAGATGTACTTTCATACTTGCAAGATAAGCTTACAATAAAGGTAGTGTTACAGCTCAGGTTTTTGGTTTCTTATCTGGACTAACTCAAAGGGCTGACATTACTTGACTCTTCTTCCAGGTTGACCGTGGTTTGTTCGTACGAGAGTGCCGATACTTCCTTGAATGTCAGGATAAACACTCTTCCTCCTCCTGGTCTTGTAATCAACCAGGGTCCACTTTCTCTTCTTCTTCTCATTTATCCAGGTGAGAGGTTTTAATTCGTGGCTAGGTGGTGGGAGATATTTCTTCGTGGCAGTTTTGCGTCTTATTACATCCAGTATCTAGAGCAGTGTTTCTCAACCTTGGCAATGTTAAGATAAATAGACCTCAGTTATCCAGGTCATGGTTGCCCCAAAGGTACTTTTTCAGGAAGCAACTGGACTTTCTTGTTTTTCTTTGAAGACGTTTCGCTTCTCATCCAAGAAGCTTCTTCAGCTTTGACCGGATGGTGGGGAATGGAAGGATTTATATTCCTTGCAGGTCATTTGCATCCTTTTAGAGGGTCGTTGAGGCCACTTGGAGGTTTACCTGTGTCCTCAGGGTGACCTGAGTGGTGCAAATGGGTCTGGAGTCTTCTTGGGACTGTTGAAAGGACAGTGTTGTAGACTGGAGATGATGTCGTATCTCTCCCCTCTGTTGAGAGAGGGCTGTTCAATTTTGAACAGGTGGCCTCAACGACTCTCTAAAAGAAGGCAAATGACCAGCTGTCTGCAAGGAGTATAAATCCTTCCATTCCCCACCATCCAGTCAGAGCCGAAGAAGCTCCTTAGATGAGAAGCGAAACGTCTTCAAGGAAAAACAAGAAAGTCCAGTTGCCTCCTGAAAAAACACTTTTGGGATAAGTGGACTTTAACTCCCAGAATTTCCCAGCCAGACATGCTGGGAGTTGAAGTCCACATACCTTAAGGTTGCTAAGGTTGAGAAACACTTACTTAGAGCATTGGATTCTTAGTTCATGAAAACGCTTGCCAGAAATATCAGCTAAGATAGATCCAACGTATCCATAATTATCTGGATGAAGCTCTTTAAAAATATCCAAAGAAGAATTAAATTTACACACTTCGCAGTGGTTTCTGTCATTTGCATAATGACATCATTATACAAATGACCTAAATTGCTGCAAAGGGTGTCCTTTTACTGCTAATAGAGATTTGGGAAGAAAGAAGGGTGCCCCAATGGCCTATGAAATTGAAGTCTCATTTGTGTGTGCAATTAATGCACATAAACATAATTACGTACACATTGCTGGGGGGGGGTTGCCTTCTATCTCAACGTGTGCTGTAAAAAGGCTGCCGAACTAGGAAGTCGCAAGTTTAAAAAGCTAAGGTAAAATAGAGCTTCCTGTATAATATTTTCCAATTTGGAAACACGAACATGAAATCCAGTTTTAACTGCCTGGAGCCCATGGGGATTGAAGCAAGAGATAAATGGCATGAAATAAAATTTTAAAAAGCATGCTGGGACGTCAGAGCATGCACAGTCTTATTGTGCTGAGATAACCCAAGAGTAAACACAGTAAACAGTGGTTTGTATTAAATG